TGCACCGAGACCCAAAACTGAACTCTCCATGGGGATGGGAGCAGGATAAAGAGCCATGAGAGGGACGGTGGAGGGGGGGACATGGATTAGCTGGAGGGGAATAGAGACAGAGAGAAAGATTATTAAATGCTCTACTTTGCAAAAGTTGCAAAGTTTGCAAGTCATTGTCTAAAAAGATTTTGACTTTTTTACCCAAACAATGTGGCAGATCTGTGCTCCACGTGCCCACAGAGGTGCAGTCAGTGCTGGTCGTTCCATTCAGGAGAAAACCCTCGTCACAGGTCGACGTGCACCGAGAACCGAAACTGAAGGATCCATTAGGGTCGGAACAGGAAATGGAGCCGTGAGAGGGCGGATTTTGGGGAATGCACCTCTTAGCTAAAGGAGCGACAGAAACAAAAAGACCTGTTATATTATTATACTCATTATACTTATTAAATACTTCATCACTTAGTAATGTGTGGTCATACCCTGGCAGACAGGAAGTGCGTGACTCCAGTTGCCCTGTGAGGAACATTTAGTTTTGTTTGTGCCAATCAGTTCAAATCCTTCTTCGCATTGCAAAGAGCATATTGAGTCATAGCTGTACTCTCCCAAAGGGTCCAGGCATTGCATGGAGGCATGAAGTGGAGCCTCTAGGCTGTTGCACTGCACCACTGAAGAAGAAATAACCATTACTCATCAGTGGAGAACTTTGTACATTTTCAGAAAGCTTGTGCAACACAATGAAAACTCTATGAACAGAAATCACACCGGCACATGTAGGTGTAGGTTTACTCCACTGTCCTGACGCCAGACAGGTGAGTGTGCTATTTCCACTCAGGTAGTAGCCTTCCTGGCAGGTGAAGTCACACCATGAGCCAAAGGAGAAAGGCTCCAGAGTGTCCACGCATGTCATGTTGCCCGTGACAGGAGAGAAAATGGGGGTGCACTTTTTTACTGTGGTGGGATACAGACATTACACAAAGCCCACTCAATGCAAATCAACATTTGAATCACGATGACATGATTTATGGTCAGGGAAAACAGCGACAGCAAATCACATTATTGTCTGGACGATGCAGATATAAAGGACTGTGAAGTAAAGTGCTGACAGGTGTGACCGGCCTATGCTCTGCGCTGCAGTCTGGACAGGATGTGACTCAACACTGAGGCAAGTATTAATAAATGGTTGCATTCAATCTATTAACAGGGGCCAAGCAATACAGAAAATCATATGAAAAGTATTTAACAAGTAATATTCAGATATGGTGTCAAAGAAAAGACCTGAATACTAACATTAAATTATCAAATAAAAAAAGTTTTTAATTATATGTTACAGTTTTTCATTAAAATGTCTAAAAACAACTAGACTCATGATTTAAATTTTGCGACTTATTTACTCATATTATCCAAAATGTTTCGAGGGTTAAGGGCAGAAGATATTACCCCTTGTTAAGCCATATGAGACAAACTATGAGTTTGTTTGATCAAAAATTGATCATCTAGAAAATACCATAATGTATTGTAAAAGTTGATAAGGGATCTTTTTTCATTTTTTTATTTACCTGTGCAGTTTGGCAGACTGTCACTCCAAAACCCAGTGGACGAGCAGAGCAACACATCAGTGCCATTCAGGGAGAATCTGTCTTTACAGGTGAAAAGACACTTGGAGCCAAAGCTGAAGTTCCCCAGAGGGTGGGAGCAGTTCACAGACAGGGGTGGAGACAAGGCATGGATATCCTCACACTGTACAACTGGACAGGACAGAAATTGTTATTACAATAGCTGCTTGATCACCAGAACAAAACTGGTACATTTGTGGGCACTCACGCTCGCAGGTGGGTAGATCCTGACTCCAGTGGCCTGAGTTATTGCACGTCACAGTAGGTCTTCCTCTCAGCCAGAAACCCTCAGTACATCCAAAGTCACATTGGGAGTCATAGCTGAAAGGGGAGTATGGATGGCTGCAGTTCATTTGCCCATGTTGTGGAGCTTCGGCCAATAGGGGGCATGGACGTGCTGTAAATAACAAAGTGTGAGCCAGCCTCTGTATAAACCAACATCTCTTTGTGAAACAAAGTGGAAAATGGAATATCTGCTATGGAGCACAGGTTTAGTGTATGGGAAGTTAATATCGTATCTCTGTTCTTATGATACAAATAATGCATATTATTAAAAATCAATATCTGCCAAGTGCAACACCCATATTTTGATTTATTACCCTGACAGTGGGTTATTCCTCTGCTCCATGTGCCCAGAGAGGTGCACTCTGTGTCAGCTGTCCCATTCAGGAGAAAACCCTCCTCACAGGCTGAT